GTATTATCATTAGTTTTACAAATAACGTACATTAGACACAGAGTGGATCTATTTAAATGTACATGCCATTATTTCTTTTAGTGTAACTATCCTTATACCAAACCACACTAAGCAAGTAGCAACTGGATCAATGGCCAGGTGTTTTGAAGCAGGAATGGTTTAATTTCAGCCCCTTCCCCAGTAATACATGATGACTAGTTTGCTTAGCATTCTGTTTTGAACAAAGCAAACTTTCCCTCCCCCTCTCCACTAAATTGACTGAAAGAATGATGCAGCTGAGCAGAAGGGCCTACATCCTATAATTTATTCTTTTTCAAAAAGGTGGAGTGAGAGGAAATGTTTTGTATTGTTTCCTTCTTACATGTACACAACTACAAAATTAGTGTCTGTCTTTTATATTTAAGACAGGCATGCAAGTGAAAGAGGTTTATAGCTTATAGGTCGAGATAATATTGGCTTATATCCAAAGGCTATTTGGTGTTGGCAGAAGGACACTGCTGCTGGTGGAAGGGGAAGATTTCCATCTTCCCACTGCAGATGCCCAAATTGTGCCCAGTGCTGTTCCTGAGTTCCCCTGAACCTCAAGGGCATATCAGAGTAGTGTTGAATGAAACTGCTATTCTGTGTGTTCTGTATGTGGTTCCTGTTGGATACAAAACACCATGTTTCAATGTTTGTATTGATTTTCTGTGAGTGGTCTTCATCTTACCATTGGTTGGAGTGGTGGTATATGAAGTCCAAACCAAACATACATAACTACCATGGAAAGTTATTCTAGTCCATCTCAAGCATGTAGCCCTATTTACAATACAGAAGTCTACTCTTAGCTAGTACTTCTTGTAGTTGAAAGAAAACATTTAGCTCTTAACAACTGAATAAAAGAGCTGAACATAAAGTATCATGAATATTGTCATATAGGGGAAAATCAAAATATTAAGAAGGGAGGCCAGTAACCTGAAGAGGAAGCCAATGCATAACAAAAATGCCCTTAAAATAATCTCTGACCAAGGCCAGTTGTGTGACATGCCATGGATTCACACCCCGGCCTTTTAAGAAAGGATGGGACTATGTGATTAATAAAACAATGCGTGTTAAATAAAAACCAAACTCAAACACACACAAATGTACATATGAGATACAGGAATATCTCTAGGCACCTGGAATATTACTCTAAATACATTGCTAATGACAACATTAATATTTCCTGTATGCTCTTCTACAATGAAAACAGCCTACAGCTTGGATCATTATATGTGATGACCTTCTAGTCATTTCCCAAAATATATTAGGAGACAGTGCTTACTTGTCAGCAGAAGTTTCAGACCCATACAGACTCTAAAGTTTTAATTCTCAAGACACAACTTTGGAGACCCCCCACACCTATGACAGGGAAGAACCAGTTTCAAATCTACACAAGTGAACCGAGTGCTGGACTGGGCCTTGTTGGGATTTGTAGTCATGAAAGAATAAACATGTCTGTTTATGCATGCTAATGTCCTAACTAGCTAAGTTTACGGACCCAATGGTAGAGCCTGCATCTCCTCTAGTCTGTTCTCACATGAGTTTTAGAAGCCTTAGAGACAAGATTTAGATTAGAGCAGTTAGAGAGGATGTTTATTCTTTCTTTGTTTGTTTGTTTAATCTCCAAGTAACCCTTTCCTCATTAGTGAGTAAAGTTTTCTTTCAGAGCTAATATACAAGTCTTGTGCTGTGTTTATTCACTCCGCATAATCAAAATACCCAACAGGCCTACACCTTGGATCCAAATATTGTCTCAGCCATGAACTATCATTTGACAAATAACAGTTTCAGTCCTAATCCTATCAAATGGGAATTCACAGTGACCTGGCCTCTTCCTAAGGCTCTGGTGATAATGAAAAGATGTATAAAGCACAGCGTATCTTGAACAAAGGTACAGAAATACTGATAGAATCTATACATACCCACTGAATTCCCCATAACTTACTTTTAAGACTGATGAGGAGTAAATAAAAACTTGATCAGATGGTAGAAAGAGCTAATTAACTATGGTCCCGTTCATACGCGGCGATTTGGGCCAGTTGCGGGCCAGTTTGGGGGCGGATCAAAGCAGCGCGATCACACCACAACATCTGGGAAGCGTTCTGCTTCTGCCCCCAAACTGGCCCTTTCTGGGAAAAAGCGCCTCAAGTTGACACCACCTACCTCGGTGGTTCAACGAGTAGACGCGCTGCACTCCGGGCGTCTGATCGCCGGCGCTCCCTTGCGCCAGCTCAACCCCGGCCTGGAGCCGAACTGCGCATGCTCCGACATGCGCAGTTCGGCCGGCCCCCGGTTAGGGCTGTGTTTTCTCCCCGGCGTTTGATCGCGCCGGGGAGAAACGGCGGCGCGGCCGGGGGATCCGTGAGATCCCGCCGCGCCGTGTCAATGTTGGCGCGGCTTTTAAAAGCCGCGCCTTCAAGCGCCTTTTCCCCTGCGTGTGGCAGGGGCCTATAGATACTGCTGTGACGTAGCAAGGAGCTTTCAACCTGCACCTATTTCATCACACTGAGGGTGACTAGCTAGTCGACAATGCAATCCAGCTGAGCACTGTAGGATTAGACTACAGTAAACAATGGATATGGAATGGAAAAAAATAAAGATTTCCTTCTATTGATTGGTTCCATTTAGCAATAGTGACCAGAACTGAAAATAAGTGGAGGATAAAATTTATTCTAATTAATTACAAGTAAAGAATCCAGGAATTAGACAATTTATGAGAAACAACTAAAGCTCATTCTGTCTCAAACTTAAACCAAAATATCCCAGCCATAATTGCCACAGCCATACTAAAATGGAACAAAACATATTTTTATGTATTTTCTTTCCCCTATGTTTGATTGCTGCTAGCTCACCTCGTCAGATCTCAGAAACTAGGCAGCATCAGTCCCAGTTAGTACTTGGATGGGAGACCACCAAGGAAGTCCAGGGATGCTACACAGAGGCAGGCAATGGCAAACCACTTCTGTGCATCTCTTGCCTTGCAAACCCTAGGGGGTCACCATAAGTCAGCTGCCACTCGACGGCACTTCCCACCACCATTTTTTATTCTCTGTCTTGTGATCATATCGTTACCATTTTAACTCTTTTAGCTTTAGGATTCTAGCTTGTGTTTCATTATCCACTGCTACTTTTAATATAAAAACATGTAAGCTATTTGCTGTTGTTTAGACTTACTTTAAGGTGTTCTTTAAAGATCTTATTTTTATTAATATGTTATTTTAAGAATATTTGTTGTGAGTTTTTAATGGAGTGTGGAATTCCAGTATTTTAAATAAATATATATACAGAGCAAGCAATTTTTTTAAAGATTGTTTTTCAGTCTGTTTGTGATGTAGTAATGAATATTAAACTGAAAAAGTAGAATTCATGTAAATTGATGTTAGAGTGGTCTCTATATCTCATGTACATGACACAGCATACAACTTTACCACCCAAGTTAGGCTCACATTATGAACCAAGAAAAAAAGAAGCTGCTTATATTTCCTTCAGCCAACCATTTCACTATCATACACAGGGGAGGGGGCAAGGGATCTAGTTAAGGTTAAGTTTCCTAGGCATTCTAACAACAGTGTTATTCGGTGCCAGTTTATGCTGGTTCTGATCTTGTACACAAGTCTTCTAGTGCTGTTTGTTTTAGGAGGATACTTTTAATAACTAGAAAGGAATGAATTTACACCCTTCTTTAGCTCTGTGGTCAGTTCATTAGCTACAGTAGAAGCACAGGTTATGGCTGTTCCACCACAAGCTGCAGGACAGGGACAAAAATGATGGGCTGTCCCTGCCATTATTAGCCAGCTGAACATCACGCCTAGCTATAATAGCTACTCTATATGAAGGAATAAACAGGCAGCCAATTGCTCATCCAGCCTATTTTTTTTCCCAGCCCTTCTGAAACAACAACAAAGAATGTACCCACTCCAGAGATGACTGAAATATACCTGTGTGTCCAGCTACAAATAAAGGTGTATTGCCCTAAATAAACAAGCCACATAAACACAGGGTACTAATTCAGTGAACTGGTCATAATGTTATCCTCTCTTCTCAGAACATTTACCCTCTTTTCTCAGAACATTTACCCCTCCCCTCATCCTAATAATTAATTATCATATGGTGTTGTGTGGGGGATAGCCAGGAGATCCTAGGATTGTCCAAGAGCCACACATTCTAGCTCTTAGGGTTGTGCATGGTGAGCTAGACTTCTTTTTAGGGGCTGAGAGTGCTCTGAAAGAACTGTGACTGGCCCAAGGTCACCTAGCTGGCTCCATATGGAGGAGTGGGAAATCAAACCTGGTTATCCAGATTAGAGTCCACCTAATAATGTACAGAAATGACCCAGACAGTACTGAGAAATGAAGAGGTAGGATCACCCCATCCTTCAGATACACATCTCCCATTTTATGCAAAAATACTGTTCTAAATTGACTGCAATAGGAGCTGATGGTACAAAGCTTTCTCACCTGTCCCCACTAGCTGTAGTCTTCCCTTTTAGCTCCCCAAAGTGCTGTCATGGGGCAGGAATGTCTCAGGAACAGCTTGGGGGCAAAATGCAGGTCTGCAGTGGGAGGAAGGAATCAGTGAAATTGGTCCCCTCTTTGTCAGTGGAAAATGACCTTTGGGCCCAATGATATTTTAAACCCCTGAAGTACTTTAGGAATACTTGAGTGCTTTACATGTGGAAATGTAATTTATTTGTGATTCTTATGGTGCAATCTGAAGTGGAGTCACACTCATCTAAGCGCTTGGAAGAGGATAACTCTGCTTCAGATTGCACTGAAAATCACTCTGGAACTGTCTGAGTTTTCCCATGCAGAATACAAGTAGTAAACATATTATTATCTGGGATCTTCCCACAATTTTGGCTTCAACATAAAAATTAAAGGTGCTCATTAAAAACTGAAATCACAAGAATATCCCCACTTTTAAGAGAAATGAGATTTGACAGCCAGGCCTGAAACCATCCTTGGTACACATCTTCTTACCTCTTTGCAATTTCCAGCATATTTGAAGATCAAATTCCTTGGCAAGGAAGACTCAGCCTGCATTATGGTGCCAGTTTCAGTGCTGGAATCTGCGGGGTGATCATTTACAATATATGTACACTTCTCTTCAAATTCAGCCTCTGTCCATAGAGTCATGTCAGCATCCTCCATGTCCATTTTCATTATCAACGTTGTCCCTTCCTCCAGGGCTCCGTGATTTACAATATGTGAGCTACACAATGGGGCAGCCTGGAAAAGAAAATTGCATTTAGTTCTTATTCTAATATTAGGCCAATATGACCGCAATGGCAGTCTAGTGGCAATTTTGATAGAAATGTCGGGCTAGCTGGAAACAGAGATGCAGAATGAACTGAGCTGTTTTCACTGAAGCACTGCTTCAAAGGCTGGATTTGTGGGGGGAGTCACTGAAATAATGAGGGAAGAAACAACATCTGCTATAGGAACAAGTCCTTAGACCTTTTATCAATACCTGATGCGGGTGAGAGATACATTGAACAAGCTCAGGGCTTGTATATAAAAAAGCCTACAGTCACAGCTACAAGACCACTTACTGCCTGTGGAAAAGTTGCTTCAGAAAAGTGTAATAAACAACAAAAGGAAAAGGAAGGAACTGCAGTCTGTGTCTGAATGATCTAAAAATGGAAAGTGCATGTTGGGAGACCGGAATCCCGCCTTGTCTTTTCCAAATGGGGAAGGCTGAACTTTCCCACCAGCTTCTAACACACAAACAACTTTCAACCCCCCCCCCCCATATTGACATCCCTTGGCATGGAAAGCACTGGGAGGTTGTACCCTGCCAGCACTGCTTCAGAAACAGCCTGCCTCAAATTACTAAAAATAATGACAGTACAAAAAGGTGAAGTTTTCTATAGCTGCTTACAGATTAAAGACAAACCACTCAAACAAAAGTGACCATCCATCTGAGGAAGCTGGTACAGGGCTACACTGGAGCTGCTGTAGAGTAGCAGCTAACTAGTATGAGCCAGGAAGTTCCTTATTCAAACCTTAGTTACGTACTCATTGGGAATCCTCAGACAAGCCACTGTCTTTCTGTCTCAGTGTTCCATCTGCACTATGGGAACCATAATACTGACCTATCCCTACAGATTTGATGTAAATGCTTATTATTATCAGCATTATTCGTGTTCTGTTTCCATTGAAACATTGGTATTAAAGTTTAAAATGAAGAGGAGTGTTAATATTTTTTGTGAAAAATACAAGTCTAAAGAACAGAGACTTAACAGCCTTCAGTCACTTCAACCACCGTCCTATTCCAGTGCTAGGAACTTGCCCCTTAAAAAGTCCAAGCATGTTTTGTTTTCCCTGGTGCAGAATTACTGAACAAACATCAGCTTTTCCAAAACAAAGGTCTGAGGCTCCAGCATTATGCTAATCCTACTAGCGATTTTTATCTGGATTGGAATAACCAATTCAAACAAATATTTTGTAGCCTACAAAAGGATTACAAAAAGGTGTTACCTTACCTCCAGAGTTCCTTCGATCTTTTGATTCTTTCCTTTTTTAAAAAAACTAGTTCCTCTTACAGTCCTTATGAGCTTGCTGAAATTAAATTTCCCACTTGGCTACAAACTGAACAAGCACATTAGTCCTCTACAAGAGAAGACTAATACTGAAACTCAAGGAACTGGCAGTTGCCATTATCAGCAAAAAGAATTAATCATCACAAAAAACCAAAGCCTCCAACGAGAACTTTTGCCATTGTCAACGTGCTCAGAATGCCATATTCATTCAGAAAAAAAAACACTAGAATGTTTTCTCTTCTGCATTCAAAAGAAGGAAGGAAGCTGCTTACCAAGGTACAGTCCACAAATATTTCCAGCTGGCAGCTTGGCGTTTCAGGTAAGTCTCACACATAGCCTTCTGCCTTACTTGCTGGGTTAAAGTAATACTGACTCACTGGTAGAGAGCTGACTCCTTTTCTTCTCTCTCTCTTTCTGTCAGACAGGTGCTGCTGCACTTAACATCTTCGAAACACTGACGGGCTGAATACTTTCAGTCTGTTAACCAAACAGACTCTTCCTTTCTCCTCCCTGTTTCAGGTTTCCTATCTCATGCACAGTCACGGCTGCTAACAGCAGGGGGTGGGGCTTTACCTGTAACTCACACAGAGATTATCCAATGAAACTCTGATCTAGTCAGAAGGAATTTCTCCTTTCTACCTAAGTCACACCGATGCAGATTTTCCTGCCAGCATGTACAGCCTTAAGAATTCTACTAGAACACAACTTAAATTCCATGGAAGAGAAACATGTTTGGTTTAAAATGTGATGTGATCTTTGCCTTCTAAAAATCCATTACCCAACTATGAGACTTAAGATACGATTATATAATGCTTCTATGTGATAGAAATTTGTATTTAACTGGGCATTTTTAAAAGCCCACAAGTCTGTTTATTATTTCTAAAAACAAACATCAGAATTGTTGTCATCTTACCCATGTCTTAGTTTGTATGCACTACTTCTCACAATAATCAAAAGAACTGACTTCTTATTTGGTTTGATTACTTTTAAAACTATCATTTGAAAAAAAATAAGTGAACCTTTCCTCTGTTTGTGCCTTTTCGAAGGATGGTCTGTATGCTACATAGTATGGAGAGAAAAGCTACATAAAGATCACTTAAAGAGCATATTGCTAATGAAAGAAGTATTAGCAACTAGTAATTAGTGGGATATGCACTCTTGCCATTTCTTTTTCCTCCTTCCAAGTTAGTGTGCTGCCTTGAAGGAAGGACATCCTGTGATGATGGCATACAATGTCCTGTTTGTTTATTATTAAGCACACAGACCTTGCATTCCTACTTCTTATTACCAAACAAATCAGATGCCTAACTTCCTTCAGTGGTCCTGGCCCTTCATTGAGGAATCCTTCTGCTAGCAACAGCAAAGATGATGCATAGCTCCATTTATAGACACTCACAATGTCACAAACACCAGTCGAGTCAGTTCACCGAAGGACAAGTCTCCTACTTTTCCTTTTTACATCACATCTGCAGACATGTTTTTTTTTAATCATGCCTTTCCTCTTATGCAGGCAGAAACTTGTTTTGACTTTGTATAAAAACAGAAAAACAAAAACTTCCTTGAGTGGGGGGTGCGGTTATATTATTTAGACAAATGATGGCTCCCCCCATTAAAAGTTAGGAATCATTATCTTTGACGTACATGTTATACTGTCATCCTCTTGCGGTTCTTATGGAAGAAGGTGAAAGGGATTATTTGTCATTCTAGGCGACACAGTACTGAGAATAGCACATATCTGTGTAAAGACCTTTGGCACTCTTCTAATGAAGAAGCACTCATGCTGCTGGACATAAGTAGGACAACAGCGCCAAACAAGTGTCCTGGCTTAACGGTTACTTGTACGTAATTCCACAAGAAAGGTGGCAAGGGCATCACACTGATGGGTATAAAGGTAATTGGATATGCAATTGGAAGAAATATTCATTTAAAGTAGAGAAACCTGGCCACCTTGACTCGGGCAATTAACTGATGCTGAGGGTAGAATATAATGACTACTATCTACATAGGGGCTGCTTTAAAAATTACACTGTGTTGGCATAGTTACCTGGATATGTGGTAACTCAAGCACTGTCAGGTTCTTGTAATCACTCATAAGCAGGGAAACTTAGTAAAGTTGTACATTTTGATTTCATTCATTTTTCTTATTATTAGTGACTTTGATTGCTTTTATGACAGTTAGTATGCATGTTAATATATACACTGCTTTGAGAGTTTGGGCTGTGAGACCAAATGATATATCATAATTAAATAAAGTATTATGACTAGGGTTGTCAGGTCTTACCTCCTCACTGGCGGGGCGTGGGAGGGAGCTTTCTGGGAGTGGGGGTGGGTGGAGAAATGTCACTACACATGCCACCCCAATGGATGACATCACATGGAAGTGATGTCATCATACCAGGGGCATCGCACTGCGATGCTCTGGTATTTGGGGCAAAACTCTATGGTACCCATAAGAGCTTTGCCCAAAATACCAGAGTGTGTCCATGCAACATCCCTGGCTTGATGACGTTCCTTCCACGTGATGCCATCATATCAGGGATGTCACGCTGGGTGGTGGCTGTTGGAGGCAGCGGGCAGGAGCCCCCAAAATCAGGGGATCCCCTGCTCCCAACTGGACGCTGGCAACCTTAATTATAACATAGCTGGAAACTACAGATGACTGCCTATCTTTGTCACTGGCATAAAGCTTAAGGGGCACCATCTAGACGGTGGTGGTTTGATTCCATCTGAAAGTCCATGTGATATGTTACCCAGCGAACCTGGGAACCACTTCTGAGTGGCTATTTCCCATGTGCTTTAACCTGGATGGCCCAGGCTACTCAATCTCATAAGATTTTGGAAGCTCGGTCGGCTGTGGAAGGTCAGCCACGGTCCACGGGTCGGCTGTGGAAGGTCAGTAGTTCAGCAGTTCAAGACCCGGGTGCTGCAAAATCTCATAAGATTTTGGAAGCTAAGCCGGGTCGGCCCTGGTTAGCACTTGGATAGGAGACTACCAAGGTAGTCCAAGGTTGCTGTGCAGGGACAGGCAATGGCAAACCACCTCTGAATACCTCTTGCCTTGGAAATTCTATGCAGTCATTGTAAGTCAGTTGTGACTTGACAGCTCTTTTTACCAACACTATTTTGCATACAGTTCTAGGGACAATGTATTGGATGTGTGACTCACATGGTTACTGACTCCCCAGTGGCAAGACAACATTGGATATGCAGAGATGGGGTGAACGTGGTATGGGAAGTAACCATGTGAGCTACTTCCTACTAATGTTGCTTCTGTGCCATGGGAAGCTGCCATATGGAAGCAGTAAATATGAGCTGGCCCTGAGTCATCTCATGCGAGTGAAAAACAATGCATTCATGCTGAAGGTGGCTTTTTTGCCCCACAGACACAATCACACACACACACAGAACCCAAAATGTAAGTTTCCCTTTGACATAATGATGTTTCATGGCACAATTAGATGTTATAGAGTCCACAGTTCCAAACCATGGACACTGCTGCCATTTTGCAGCTGAATTTGGGCATTTATGGATGGGACCTATGGATCCTATAATGTCTAATTGAGCCCTCAGAGTTTTCTAGTTCCTTGTTCATTTAGAAATATATGTTGTAACAATAGCAACGTGATTTAAGATATGACAAACAATTTCTCAATGTTTACTCAACCAAAGTATACTCAACAAGTATAAGGAAAGAGCATTAGTTGTATTTTTGTCAGTCATAAACATAGTGATTTTGTCTCCAGCAATGGAAATAACTACAGGCATAAACACTGTTAAAGGTGAAAATAATGTAGGTTCACCACTAATGGGGAGCAAGTCCTAATGGCTGTGGACATGGGTGGTATAAGCCTGCTGGTAGCAGTGTATGCATTTCCATTCCTTAGCATAGTTGCAGTGCTCAGTCCTATATATATATA